ACTTTATATATATGCTGTATATATACTGTATATGTTTACACAAAGCATGAAAAATGACATCAATCAACCAGAGTCCAAAAACATGAAAAAAAAATTGGAGCTTCATTTTTTATTTTTATTTTACCAAAACAAAATATTTATTGCTCTCAGAGGCAGGATTAAAACCTTTTTTGGAAACAGCTGAGTAGGACTGATGGTACCATTATGACTTTGACTGCTGGATTCGCGTCTAGTGTGTTTTATGTAGGCTACATTTTGTTTAACAGGAGTCAGATTTAGTGTTGCATGTGTGACTACCGTGATACATTGTGTTTGTGTGCACTGGAGCCTGTCAGCGTAGTAGAAATCTCTGCTTGTTTCAAACAACTCTTTGACCAATGAGGAGTGCTTCCAGCAAGGCATGGCATTGATATGTACAAAAATTTACACCTGAAAACAACATGCGGGTTACACATTTGATACAAAATAAATATTAAAATCAACTGAGTCTGCAGGATGGTTTTAAAATATTTGATTTTTAATGTGAGGTTCAAGTCAAAAATGCAAAAAATATCAATGTATTGTATTATTTAAATCCCAAGTGAAAATTAACAATGAAATTGTGGAATTATTTATTGAACAGGAAACAGGAATACGTGATTTAAGGAAAAATAAATTGGCTTCATGAATGGTCTTCTGAGATGTTTATTGCAACAACAGAAACACAGAAATCACCACAGAGCCATCCCCTCTGCCTCTCTGTCCTAATGGCCACCTATATGTACTGTTTTAACGTACAGATGCTATCTTTAACAGACAGTGACATCATTTCCAGGCTCTGTTCTGGGTCAAGACAAATAACAGCAGATTTTGTCTTGGTCAAAAATATCCCTATCTATTGATAACACACAGTAAAGCTGATGTCGTGTCAGGGTCATAACCTACGGGCCTATAGATCAAAAAGTATTTTTCCATTAGAGAAATAACGTTTTTTTTTTGTTTTGATTTTTAATAAAAAAACAATTAAATGAATGATACATGGACCCTTTTAAATAAAAACTACCTGCTAATGCTTTTTTTGTTACATTTTTCTCTGCAGGCTAAATTCAAAATCAACAGACTTTATAAAATTACACGTAGACATTATTTTAAGATGTTCTTTCAAGTAAAGAACTAAAACAAGAAATTTTGTGTATGCATTGCTAAATACATAGTGTGTGTGTGTGTGTGTGTGTGTGTGTGTGTGTGTGTGTGTGTGTGTGTGTGTG